ACTTTGAGGGATTCAGATGATAGTGAGTCATCCTAGCCACTTCATACTTATTTGGGTTGTCTTCCCATTCAACTGCTACTTTATGTTGTTTATATCCACTGTTGTAATGTTGTTTGCATACAGTGATCCATGCTGAAATCTTTTCCTCTATACATTTGAACTTAACATCACATGGAACTTTGACTCCACCAACTAGCTTATAGTCAAAATATAAGGACTTGTTCCTAGGAATATCTTTCATTGGAATGTTAAGTTTCTCACTGTGTTATAAGCTGCATGGTTTACTGTGTTAAGGTCATCCCCGTAGTTTGAGAGTCTAAAAGGTTTTGGTATTCTTTTGCTTGGTTCTTCATCTGGTACTCCCTCCATTTTGACTCAGCTGTGTGTTGAATTGCTTTATAGGTCTTCACTGATGATTATATTGTATAGCTTCCTTCCCACCAAACTCTATCCTGAATTTTAGCAGAGCTGATGTAACCACACTGTTACTAGTGTGGCGGCCATTTTCATATATGTATGAAGATATGTATGTAACAGTGTCCAAGGCACATGAGGACTGGGTGGACCCTTTGTGTGGTGTGTTATGTATGAAGATATGTACGTAACAGCGTCCAAGTGGATAACAATACTCCATCATTTTTATGAGACGACCTGTCAGGTCATGTGACATTGTAATAGAATTACAGTATTGAATTACAGAGGGCGAAATTTACAGTTTAACACATTGTGAATATATGGGAAGTGGTTTCACCACTGGTTATATTGTTTAATGAGTTCAAATACCACAGAGTAACAATATTTCATCTTAAGTTCAATGGTTTTCCGTTTTGTTGTTTCATAAAGATAGAACGAGGAACATGGCACACAATTATTTCGAACAATATGTTTAACGAATATAACACTAAGCAGATACTCATCATGTGTAAGAACCTAACTATACCTAATCTAACCTAATCTAACTATAACTGTATATCGAAAGAATGTACACGTTTTGTGCAATGAATATCTGACAGTTAAGTTTTGTTTACTGCGTAACAAATCATTGTATTTGTTAATGGTTTGATTTGCTTGTTCCCGTAGATTTTACAGGTATTGTTTTTGGTATCACGCTTTTCATTGTTCCGGTAGATTTTACAGGTATTGTTTTTGGTATCACGCTTTTCATTGTTCCGGTAGATTTTACAGGTATTGTTTTTGGTATCACACTTTTCATTGTTCCGGTAGATTTTACAGGTATTGTTTTTGGTATCACGCTTTTCATTGTTCCGGTAGATTTTACAGGTATTGTTTTTGGTATCACACTTTTCATTGTTCCGGTAGATTTTACAGGTATTGTTTTTGGTATCACACTTTTCATTGTTCCGGTAGATTTTACAGGTATTGTTTTTGGTATCACACTTTTCATTGTTCTGGTAGATTTTACAGGTATTGTTTTTGGTATCACGCTTTTCATTGTTCCGGTAGATTTTACAGGTATTGTTTTTGGTATCACACTTTTCATTGTTCCGGTAGATTTTACAGGTATTGTTTTTGGTATCACACTTTTCATTGTTCCGGTAGATTTTACAGGTATTGTTTTTGGTATCACACTTTTCATTGTTCCGATAGATTTTACAGGTATTGTTTTTGGTATCACACTTGTCATTGTTCCGGTAGATTTTACAGGTATTGTTTTTGGTATCACGCTTTTCATTGTTCCGGTAGATTTTACAGGTATTGTTTTTAGTATCACACTTTTCATTTCTTTTTCACAACAGGAGAATGCAGTATTAGGTTGAATTGTAGATTGTCATATTGATACGTCATTAGTTTTAGGAGACTCTCTTACTTTCATCATGTTCAATTGAAAGAGGGTTTCAGTTTTATACCAAATGTAAAGCATAGAGATTGCAACTACACAAAATAATTTAAAAAAAAAAAACATTTTAAAAAAGATCACGGGCAGTTCGGTTAATTTATATAAAACTATATTTTGTTAAAAAAATTAGAATAATTTATTGATTATTTACTTTGGAAATATAACAATATTCACAATATTTATGTTTTCCGCATTGTCAAATCACTATAGTACACACACATCTAAATGGCTTTATCTACCTATCCTCTTTATTCTACTGTGTGACCAGATGCCCATTTTATTTTGTACATGCACTGAGTTATATAAGTTGTCAATCTCCGCCACGGTGTTTCATGGACGAACCCATATGGAAACAATTAGGTGTGTTTATTTTGCTAAACAAGATAAACACTGACTTTGCTGCAAAGTTTATACACACGTATGTGTTATCTGTAAAGAGATTAATTATTCACTGGGTTTTAATTTCGCTCATTTCGCTGACTGGAAAATGCGCTAAATTAAAACCCAGTGAATATTTAAAAGTTAACATAGAACACATTATATAAATGATAGAACAGTGAATTTAAAACCCACTGAATATGCCTGAAATGGTAAATCAGCTAAATTTAAACCCAGTGAAAATTAGTCATTTTACAATATCTGTATAAATCTTACATGTGAATAGCTACATCTAATCCAAATAAAACAGCAATTTAGATACAATTAAAAAATAAAAGCCCCAAACAAAATAAGATAACTTTATTGACATTATTCTTTCCATAAAAGATGAATAGTCAAGAAAAATAAAAAAGTAGAAGGATAATCAAATAACACAGTAAAATAAAAAAATAACAAACTAGTACAGAATCAGTGTTTTACTATTATTAATACACACATGTACATCAAGTTTAATGTGGCAGTTTGTCATAATGTAAATAAATGTAAATGTAATGTAAATAAATTTATTTTTAAGTAAAATTAGGATTATCCTTATGTGAATTATTTCATTGTGCTGTGGGCAGTCCATAATGTAATGGTACACATCCTCAACTGAGTTGTTGTCACATCTTGTGCAGATTCTGTGTTCTAGTTTTGTTTTTGGTCTAGTATAGTATAGTATAGTAAGTAAGTAAGTAAAGTAAGTAATTCTTTATTGCTATCGTATCCCATTTGAGATCTTGACATAAAATACAATAAAGTCAAAAACATGTAATAATAAAAAAAAAAAAAATGAAAATAAAAGGAAATACTAAAAGTACTGTAAATGAATGAAATAAATACATATCTTACAATAAGAGATAAATGAATAATTGTAATATAATGTAAATAAATGTGAATCTGTGTTTTGTAAG